CAATTCAACCCATAATATTCCCCTTCCGTACCAATGGAGCCCTCATTTGGGGCCAGGCAGGCCCAGAATGGAGCCTTTTTTTTTTTCACTTTGGTCACATGCAAGAGTGCTGGCCAGCGAGGTGAAGGTGGGAGGGTGACATGGTAGCTGCTTCTGCAAATCTTCCTTAAAGGACAGGGTCCAGGTGCCCTTTCGACCTGTCTTCATGTTTTCTTTCATCCTGCTTCCAGGAATACGGCTGTCAATTTTGGCGGAAGTAATCTCAGCTCCTATGGATAGAGGAGGAGGAGAAGATTTGATTCTGAAGCAGGCCTGACAGGGTGTTTTGGACACCTTGGAGAAGATGTTAACAGGGAACTCTTTCAAAAGGATAATCCCAAAGTCCCAACCGACAGCCTGCTAGCTGACTCTAGCATATAGGACTGATGTTGTTTTGGCTGACACAATTTTTTAAAAATATGAATTAAAATGAATTAAAATACATCTATGTAGGGCATTTTCTATAGTTTGTCATAGAGCTAATCTTACCCTATGACCTTACACCCAGTTTTACTTAATTACATGCCTGGTCTCTGAAGGATTAGGGTTTAAGACCTCTGAAATATCTTTAAAATATTGCTCAACATTTATTTAGACCAGAGGCTGAAGGCTGTGGGGGAAGAGACCCCTGACAGTGGCGATCTGCCTCTTTTCTACTCCTCAGAGCAAGGGAGCTCCAGTCCCAAACTCCTGTATGTAGTCTACTCAGCAAAACAAAAGCCCTGCAATTACTCGCCAGGGAGAAGAAATTTAGCAATGATTTAGTTACTCTAGAATGCTTTACGAGGGCTCTCTCACCAGTCACCCATCCACTGAAGCAGTTCTCTTCAAAAAACACACAGTTTCCTCCCCGAGAACAATTCTAGTAAGTGGATTACCTTCGACTTGCCACACTTCCAGGGATATTTTAACATCATTAAGACACTGGCACCCCCAGGCCATCTGGCTCTTCTAACATAGCACACTGGTGATGTTTCCAGAGACTGGGGACACTGCAGAGGGGGCAGTTTTTGAGAAGGAAATAATGAGTAAATGCAGAATCTGAGCTGCCTGGAAGCCACGCATGGGGATTGTTCAGAGCAGGAACACTACAGCCTGTATCTTGGAGGGGGACGGGCAAAGTGGGCTTCCTCTGAGCCCTGCCTGATGCGCTGGGTGTGGATATGTGCACACCGAGGGAGCACTCCTAGCAGGATGATTAGCTTTGGCAAATTTACCGACAGACCTCAAGTAGTGAGGGGGATGTTTCAGATCCACATGAGATCTAGCCGGTGACTCACACCAAAACTCGGCACTACTTTTCCTAAAGCTTTTCAGAGACTCTTTGTAGACTCTTTAGTGTTTAGAACTCTCATAACTTAGTAGGGTTCTGTACTGCAAATACGGTCCAATTTGAAATTTGAAAAAACTGTTGCAGTCAGCAAAATCAGCACAACTGCTGGTAGCTGCTGCTTATCCGGCCTGCAAATAACAACTCTTCCAGATTAATAGCAAAAAAAAAAAAAAAAAAAAAAAAAACTGACTAATGAAACACATTGGCACTATGTTTCACCTCTAAGGCAATTTTGAAAATCTGTAATGAGGGTCAATTTTTTGGAAGAGGAGTGATTTTTACCTACTCCTTTCACTTAAATCTTAATCTTCCCAACTGCCCTCTAGGGCAAAAAAGCTTTCCTTGGACCCTCCCTCTATATAAACCTGTGTGAACAGATACACATATTAGGTTATGAGGGTGATTTCTTAACTGATTTTGAGCTACAGGTAATCCCTAAAAAGTGACTTTCTCAGCTTAATATGCAGACGTTACTATGTATCTACAGTGATTAAAAAACTGGAAACAAATTAAATATCCAAAAGTAGAGAAAAGTTTCAGCAAAATATGATATGTTCATGTTATGTCATGCTATGCAACCATTAGGTATGATTTTTACAGAGTTTTAAATAATAAGGTAAGAGTCTTACTAAATTTAAAGCAAAAAAAAATCTGCTTGATGCAAATTGTTACACAGTATGTCACAGCTAAGCATATATTGCAAAAAAGACTGGCAGGTATAGGCTAAAATGTTTACAGTGCTTCTGTGGGGGATGAGAGTGCGGGAAATTTTTTTTAATTTCCTATTTTAATATCATGAATATGCTGCTTTTATAATGAAGAGAAGCGAGAAACACAAAGGCATCTTTTCTGGGATACTTCCTATGCCTAAAACTTTCAAAGGGACAACCCATCTTTTATCCTTGTGGTGCAGACACATGTGAAGGAAGAAAAATGAATTGTTTAAATATGTAAATACTGTTAGAAAATGCTTACTTAAGGTAAACAGAACCAAAGGAAGTGGGAACAGTATATATAGCTCAGTGGTAGAGCAAATGCTTAGCATGCACAAATCCCTAGGGTCAATCCCCAGTACTTTCATCAAAAAAAAAAAAAAAAAAACCCAAAAAACAAATAAACCCAATTACCTCCCCCCACAAAAAAAAGAACAAAAAAAGTGAAATAATTACAATAAAACAATGTAGTGTTTAAAAAAGAACCAAAGGAAATGCATAAACATTGACTATTTTAAGGGTATGCATAAAGATAATTCTTCTTCCTGAACTTCTGAGCAAATACCCATGGCTACATGAAACTGGCTTCTTGGAATACAACGTAAGGGAGATAGAGGGTCCTTGTCATTTCCAAATTTAGCAGGGATTATCATCACCAGTATGTCAGACACTTACCCTCTCAAAAAAAAAAACCAAAAAACGAAGAATCTGTATCAGTTTTTAGAAGTACTTAAGGAAAAGTATCTTCATATATAGACTAAGAGTAAGAGCTTTTAACAGTGATCAAAGAAATATTAATGTAACTAGAAGCTAAAATAGGGTCTTGAAATCTTCCTTTAGGAAACGTGTTTTCATGAAACTCAACTGGATAAAGCTATTCTCCTTCATCTCTACTCATTGTGAAGTAGAATGAAAAAGCTAAAATAGTGACCTGCAGATATTTCTTCTCTACAGTGTACAATAAAAAACAGTATTCTCTAACTCAAATATAGAATCATCATGTAAATGCTTATTAGTGAATAATGTATTACAGTTCAAAACAGAGGATAATCTTTTACAGAGTGAATTTTTAAGAGCAATATGGCATTGCATTATTTACACTGTAAAAATGCAGTCTGTGTGTAGGTTAATATTTTTTCACAAAGACATGTGAAACATGCCTAAGAGTACTAGAGATGGTCTAAAAGGCAAAATGAGCAATGTGGACACGTTAATAAATAATTATCAAGATGTTCCCAAAATTGTGGACTGACGTTTTTAAAATATTTGAATCAAAGTTTATGCAAATGTTTCATTAAAAAAATGCCCATGAAACTCATCATCTTATTACGGTTAGTAAACCACAAAATAATAAAAGCAAACCCATTAGAAAGTTCCTCATAAAGAAGAGAAAGCACCTAATAAAGTTTTCTTTGCACCGTTTTTTGCCCATTGTCAATAATTTATTTCCAGCCTTCTCCCCCAAAACCACTTTTTTTGAGTGCTATGGTTATTTAAAAAGAAACTGGCTACAGAAGAAAATTTTAGAATAATACGTTACATTACATTATTTAATGATGGGATATATTACATATTATAAATAAAAATAGTCCATCATTTAATGATGGGGTAAGGAGTTTTAATGATTTTCTAAATTATAAGGTAGAAAGTATATCAAACTTTGAGGATATTACATGAACTCATAAAATTTTATTAACAACCTAATAAGATAGACAGATCTCCCATAGATCTACTTTTTAATTTTGCAATCTTATGAACGTGAAGCATGGACACACAATTAAAAAAAACACCCAACTTTTACATAAAGATAGAACTAAAAATTGTCAATAATGAATAGTTTTATGTTAGTAGACTCTTCTTGGAATTATCTTGACTTTGGGGACATTAATTTTTATTAGCATAATTACAAAGCCAATTAGAAAAAAATCTACTGGGTTCCTTTATTTTGGATGAGAGCTTGGTTGAAAAACTTCAGGGAAGCATTCATGATATGCTACTTTCTCTCTAACCCTTTGCTTTCCCTGCCCCCCTCACTCCAGGGTCTCTGACTCAGAGACTATTTGCAGAGAACACCTGTTTTAAATGCATCCACAGGAAATACCTATGTTGTCTTTCATAATCTGACCCTGCATCTGGTTAGCTGAAATGTGATCATGATTAAAAAAAAAAAAAGCTGCCCACAGACTGAAGCAACTTCAATGTGACAACGTTTACTGGAAGTGGAGGGAATCCAGCTTATGCTTATTTTCCTACCATTAAGCCTTGGTTGTAGTGTAGGAAAAAATCAATACGTAAAAGGGCAAAACCATTTTAACCTCAAAAGATTAGTATTAATTTACACACACGGGTTTTACATCCAGACTCAGGATGATTGGCTCTTAAACTGCATGCAGTTTTGTAGCAGAAACTGTTACCTGACACTCCTTTCTTTACAGCCTCTTGTCCAAGGTTCATAGTCTATCTTATTATACACTGATACGATATTTATATACCTCCTGTGGAAAGCGCAGGGCAGTCTATCCACTGGAATAGAATTTGCACGGGAATTTCATAGTGATTAACAGTAATCTAACACTGAAATTCCAAATGAGTTCCAAATAAAGCAGGTCACTCGGGGGTTACCCGTGCGCGGGTTTACACCCAGCATGCACACCTCCACCAGTGTCACTCGGCCAACGGGACCCACCCCAGGGACCTCGGCCGCAAGTCCCGGGCCTGGAAGGTTCGTAGACACTGGG